TTTCGGTAGGCACAGTCCCTGCTAAGCATTCTGCCCTTCTAAGTCTTTATAAAAATACAATCATTGAAGTTAAAATGACCATTTAATCATTCTCTTTTCACTTCAGTGAAATATTATTGAGTACCACTGTTTTCCAGGCACATTGTAAGTGAACTCAGTGAGTTTAAAAAAAAAAAGAAAAAGAAAAAAATAAAGTCCTATGTCATTATAGAGATGGTTATAAACATTAAGCAAGTAAGTAAATAAACTTATTTATTTATTAATAAAATTAATTTCAGAATGCAAACAATGAGTGTCAGGCTGCAACAAATATGCTATGAAAGAAATAAGACAGAATGATGCAACAGACTGGGAAGAGGGGAGATATATTGGATTTGGAGGTCAGGAAAATTGTGTCTGAGGAGGGGATATTGTGCAAAAGTCTAGATACAGAAAAATCCAGACAGAGGGGACAGCAAGTGCAATGGCTTTTAAGTAGGAACAAACTTAGTATGGATGAAGATAAAGACATCCACTGGGAAGAATAAAGGTGGTAAGACATCTCGTTCAAGAGAAGAGACAGATTGGGGCACCTGGGTGGCTCAATCTGTTAAGTGTCTGACTTCAGCTCAGGTCATATCTCATGGTGCGTTGGTCTCTGTGCTGATGGAGACTGTGCTTCGGTTTCTGTGTCTCCCTCTCTCTCTCTCAAAAATAAATAAACATTAAAAAAATAAATAAATCAACGTATCAGAATTTCTGGTTGTCTTACTGCAGAAACGTCTGAGCTAATATCCCCATTTTCCACGACCCTCTTCTCCACTCGATTGAAGGCTTATTTTGCCACCCTGTACGGTACCACTTCTGGCAGGGCAGGGAAGTTAGGGAGCAATGTGAGAGTCATGCAAGTTGCTTTTTAGTTAATTCATTTATTGAGGGAGAGAGAGGGTTCATGAAGAAGGAGCAGAGAGAGAGGAAGAGAGAATCCATGCTGACAGCACAGAGCCTGACAGGGGGCTCAATCTCACAACCCTGAAATCATGACCTGAACTGAAATCAAGAGTCAGAGGCTTAACTTTTAACTGACTGAACCATCCAGGTGCCCCCAAGTCATGCCAGATATAATGGTTAAAAATGATACTTGATTTTAACTATGTTAAAAAATTTTAATTGTGTTTCCTTATTTGAGGGAAAGTAGGAGTCCCAGGGAAGCCACTTATCCTTATGGAGCTCTAAACATTGTAGAACAGCTATTTCCTTTCAGAATTTCTTTCCAGTGGCATTTAGCAAATCTCTACCATAACTAGGCACAGCCCTCCCTCCCATTTTCCCTTCCTTCTGGACCAGAGAATTATTTTTTAATTACAGACTTAAATTTGAGACTCACCGTCATTCTTCACCTACAGAAGAGTTCATGTTTTTAATTTTAAAATGTTAAAGGAGCAACCAGAGGAAAATGTCCCTTTAGGAAACCAGAAGATAAAAGCTCAAATAGAAATTCTAACACTTTTAAATATAATATAAACTCAGCTAATTATGGTTTCCAAATTTTGTAAAACGCGAGGAGAAGTTGCTGCTTTTTTGAAAAACATTTCAGGACACTGAAAACTCTTCAGCAAAGTTAACTGATGTTACTCAAAAAATATTAACTAACTTTAAAGCAAATGTTTTATAGACAGCCTGTTAAAAACGTGGTAGTATAGAGAAGAGGAAGCACACACGGGCTTTTGAGGTAACCAGAAAGGGACTCCAATCCTGGTGCCTCTCCTTGAATAGTCTTCTAACCAGCCCACCGCCCCCTGGCACGAGGGCCCCGGGAAGCATTTCTCCCAATAGCACTCAATCTGCTAGCACTCTCGCTATTTCTGTATGTTTGTGGCAGGAATTTACTTATCATGAAGGTCAAGAGATAAAATTGTGGTATATAGTTTAAGGGTGGGCCACCTTAGGATAATGGGCTTCCCCTTAGGATAATCGACATTTCATCTTTAAATTTTTTTCTGTAATATTCAGCCTCTGAAATTCCATTTCATAAGGTAATGAAGGAAAACTTTCTTTTCTTCCCCTCAGCCCATGAGTACGTTTTCATAAAATTTGCCAATTGAACGAATGTAATTATTAAAGTTAAACCTTCTGCTCATCATGCTTTCAACATTTAAAAATCTCCAAAGAGCTAAAATCTTTTTTATTTTTGGTTTTCCCAGTAATTTATTGAGATATAATTGAGACATAACTTGGCACTTCCTAATGTTATGAGTTAAGCAATTCTCTCCCAGAATTACTTACATATTTTTGCATTACTTTAAAAAAAAATAGATTTTTCAGAGCACCTGGGTGGCTCAGTCGGTTAAGCATCTGACTTCAGCTCAGGTCACGATCTCGCGGTTTGTGAGTTTGAGCCCCATGGTGGGCTGACAGCTCAGAGCCTGGAGCCTGCTTTGGATTCTGTGTCTCCCTTGCTCTCTGCCCCTCCCCTGCTCTCACTCTGTCTCTCTGTCTCTGTCTCAAAAATAAATAAACATTTAAAAAAAAAATTTCCATCAGCCTCGTTGCTCCTAATTCATTTTCAAGTACATTTAGACTTATTTGGAATATTTTATCAGAAAAAATAGTCCTCTTCAATATTTGATGGCCTTAGGAAATAAAATGTTAGTTTAGAAGAGCAGAGCTGTGTAGATTGAGCTCCTGGGTATTCAAAAGCAGTCCAAAGATCACAGCCCTGGAACAGGAAAGGGGGTGGCGGTGGGGAGGCTATAGGTGAAAGTGAAGTGTGCAAAATGAGACATCTTGGACTGAGTAGAGATATTAAGCTGAAAGAGGCAAAGTTTATAAGCAGAAAAAAGAGAATAAAAGTAAATAGGTGGGGTGTTGGGACTCAAACCATAGGTACTCATTAAATTTTACATCCTTTCTCTATATAGTTTTCTGCTTGTGGGAGTACACAAACACACCCAGGTATGTAATGGAATAAAAGGTCATAATAGTTAGGGCTTGAAGTAATTGTGTGCCAAAAACTTTAAATGAATTACCATCCCATATTGAATGTTAAAATACTCATGTGATGAATCATCACATAACCATATAATGAAAAGAGGTCGTCTTCTTCAAATATGTTAATTAAAATAGTTCTGTGTTTACTTATTTTTAGCAAAATAGCAAATACTGGGAAGCAAGTACAAGGCAAAGAGTACCTTCTATCACTGCATGAACTTCTGGCCAACCTGAGACACCAAGTCTGGAATGAAGTAAGTGCAACAATCAAGTCTGACTATTGGTCATCTTGAGCCAGACCAGAACAGATCAACTAATCCAATCCTCCAGAAAACAGAATCAAGTGGAAGTCTGTGGGCATTTATTGACAACGGAAGGTTAAGAAGGAGTATAAGCTGTGGAGTTAGATCTAGATTTAAACTCTAGACTTACAGGATGTAAGTAGCCACTTAAAAGCTTCTGTAACCATAGGAGGTATCTTCACTTCTGTGAAGCCTTCTTCTTATGCAGAATACAGGTTTTAATGCCTAATTTGGTTGCTGTGAGGTTTAAATGAATTAACGCACATAAGGTTTCCAACACAGCAGTTGAGACATACTGGGCCCTCAATAAATGGTACCTTAAAAAAAAATGTTCCCTTTACATAATAGTTCCTTCTGCCCACCAGAGCATAGAATGGGAGCTTGGACCTCTCCCTACTCTGTTCATGAGCCATAGTCCCCACTGTATCTGAGGCAGTTGGCCATTATTAGTCAAAAAGGGACAAACAATATGTCTCTCTAGTCAAACTAGCTAAGAATTGTGCCTGACCCTCCTCTCCCTTCAAGGAACCCAGGTACCTCAGACAATTCGAGAGTGTGAAAGGAGATAATAACTACCATGACATGAAAAAGCATTACTGTGAAAGCTCATTTTTCTGGTTGTATTTCCTTTGAGTGTGTTCAGAGCCTTGGTTACATGGACCCAGCCAGAGTCTGATACCTCCTAATTGGTTTTCTTTGCCTGCTTGAAAGCTTCGATATATCTTCTTGTCACTCAACAGGTGGCAATTCTTATCTTGGTTCAGGCTTAAATTGGGTGTAAGAGAACTGTAGATGTAAGAGGAGAATTAAGGGATCACCCACCTCATAGGTCGCATAGATTTCACATAGGGTATAGTGAAAAAAGCAACTGGACTTGTGGCTGAAGCCTGGCTTCTTGACTTCTTGCTAGTTTTGGTGAAGTCTCAATATCTCTCAGCTACAAAATGATAACTCTTACTCGGTAGGATTTTTGTGCATATAGTAGTGGTGAAATTGCTTTATAAATTGTATAGAAGCATATAAAAGAATAGTTTCTATTCCAGTAGAACTGAATTTGATGTGTAAAATAAATACGAGCTGTATGGAATTTCAATATCAGTAAAATTATCTCCACTTATGAATTACAATACTGCTTTAAAACAAAGGACTTTTTTCTAATCCTGTGTGTCTGTGAAATGTATTTCATAGATAGCATATATTATAAATGATCAGTAATTTTGTTATCTGATTTTAAATTAACATCATGATACTAGTTGCAACCATCCTATAAACATGTGAATTATTCTCCTTACCATTTGTAGTATTACTTAAGTATCCAGCAAGGGTATATTTGGAAATATCAAGTGCACAAATCCATTTTTAATTTAGGAAACCCAACAACTCATATATGAAAGTATTTAGCTGTATCTCTACTAACATGAGAGAAATGGGGCTGGTTTTATAAAACCTATGACTTAGATATTTCGCTCTTACAATATAAGAAAATAAAACAATTGAAACTGATCTGACCTTTGTGGGCTTTTTTTATAATATCTTTTTTTATTTTTATTTTTTACTTATCTGTATTTCCTGATAGGCAGAGATAATGACATAGTGGCCTATTAAGGGCAGAGAAGTTTCTATAAAAACCCACACGAGGTGGTTTCCATTGTTTCCTGCATGCTTACTTGCAGTCAGTTATTCCAGGAATTACCTTTGTTTGCAGAAAAGAAAACCAGGTAGAAGATCATGGCGAGTTCTGACTGGGGATATGATGACCACAATGGTAAGAGTTCTTCTGTTCATGTAAAACAAAATACTAGCTCATTGCCTTTTCCAGTAAAAGAGATATTGTGCATTTTTTTAAAAAAGTAAATAAATATAAATATAAATAAAATAGCTGTACAGTCCTAGGTTAACAGTTTGAATTGCCTGACTTGAATAATTATAATAACTTTGTATGTACCCTTAACAGTTTTCCTTTGGGACATGGTTGTCTACAAAATGTGTTCTCTGTCTCTTCCTCTTTCTCAATCTCTCTCTCTCTCACCTGTATTTTAGAAATCTAGTGCTAATTGTAAAATATTTATTGTGGTGTTGACAAATACACTATTTCATAGGATAGTATAGAAAAGGAGCATTCTTAAATGTTGAATTTTCATTAAGTTAGACATAATATCATTTAAGACACCAGAATTAATCCTAGTCTAATAAGCAGAGAACTAGTTATCCTCCTAAAACTTGGAATCAGACATGTGATGATTGTATGCATGTGTTTACCTTGCTAGGTCCTGAACAATGGGGCAAGCTGTACCCCATTGCAAACGGAAATAACCAATCTCCCATTGACATTAAAACCAGTGAAACCAAACGTGACACCTCTCTTAAACCTATCAGTGTCTCCTACAATCCAGCCACAGCCAAAGAAATTATCAACGTGGGACATTCTTTCCATGTAAGCTTTGAGGACAATGATAACCGATCAGGTGAGCCAAAAGATCCTTCTGGTTATGTTTTCTTTAACTCTTCTGGGACAAATTAAACAATAGGACTTTAAGAAACACAAACACCATCCTCGGTCTTTTGTGCATGTGTGTAGTACACATAACTTGGCTGCGATCTGGTGAAGCATCTTGGACTTCTGGAAAACTCCCAAGTGGTAAAGCCCTTCTCTTCCATGACACCAGCCCATCTCTTCTGGTCTCTAGAATCTTTGCACTCACTTCACACTCTCTAAATAAACAGTATTTTTTCCCAAGAAGGGTTAATGAACCATCATAATGAATATAGAATATAGAACATGAAACTGAAAAGGCAAATATTCTCTAATTGGAATGAGGATGGAGGAGCACAGTAGGAAAGAGAAACGGAGTGAAGAATGTATTTATTTTTTACAGCCAGAAAAATAGCTCTGTTGTTGTGAAGTTCTCGGGTACCAGTAAGAATGTAAGTCTTACATAAATCTTGCAAGATTTATTCAGTGCTTAAATGCACTGGTCTATCTCCCCCCACCCCCCACCCCCGCCCTCCACTGCTATACTATAGTCACTGAATTATCTTCATACCCCAGAATCTGGCACATTTCCTGCTACATGGTAAGATTCTCATAAATGTTTCTTGAATAACTATCAAATGGCAATTTCATAAGACAACTCTACTGACAAAAAGCAAGACTTGTTTTAGCACTTTCCTGCAAGGTTCTGACCCTAAATTTTAAGCACCTTGGGGCTATGTCCATTGTTATATTATATAAGATCTGGTGTTATGTGTGTTTAATTAGCCATATGATTGTGTAGACTCTCTAAAAACGACATAGTCATTCAATGTTAAAATTTTTTAAGTGACCTCACTGACCCCCTAGCACTTTCTTTCGGTCCCTGGACAGGCATTCTCAAACAACGCTGTCAAGATACACTGTTGTGTTTTGACTAGTAAAAAGTATGTGATGAGTAATTTGTTACTCAAAATAAATTACTAAAGATCTTAATGCATACTTCCTATTTAGTCTTTGTTGAAAGAATGAATGAATAAACTTGCAAATTATAGCAGATTCGAGGAAATCCTTACAATTCACCCACCTTCCAATATACTTTCTTGGCAACAGAAAAAGGTAAAATTACAGCTCACGGGCTGAGAATTGTATATAACTCAATGCAATGGTCAGGGATGCACCATACATATGAATGCCATCATCGTGGATGTGGGAAAAAATCCAACAAGAAAAAGCCTTTGGCACCAGCGTTTGTTTTTAGTTCTACTTAATCCATTTTCGTGTTGGATTATGTTAAATGCAAAGATAAGCAGGAGCTTATGATCATAAAACTAACAGTAGTTCCCTTTTTCTTCTAGTGCTGAGAGGTGGTCCTCTTTCTGAAAGCTTTAGGCTCAGTCAGTTCCATTTTCACTGGGGCCGCACAAATGACTATGGTTCTGAACACACAGTGGATGGAGTCAAATATTCTGGAGAGGTAATGTAACTTAGTAACTGAGACATAATTACACTGAGAATTACTCTCAGAAGCAGCTGCTTTACTACATAAGACACCATTATAATAGCTCCAAAGGAATGAGCATTCTGGTCTCTATAGGAGAACTCCCAAGCCCCTTTAAAATCAAACAGGCACCTACTGAGTTTGGCAATAGAAGGAAATTTTGCATGTGAAAAAGGTAGCTGAACTTGGAGTTGAGCTCCTGAGCCCAAGAAGCATCTTTCTCTTCAGAATGCCTTAAAAACTGTTACCTTGACAACAGCATCAAGAGGAGACACTGCTCTCCTTTAAAGCTCTGACTCTAAGCTGACCACACCATTTGCTTCTAATTCAAATGTTCAATTTGGACACACCAGTGGCATAGGTGTAGCCAGGCTGGAACACTTTAATAAGACTCTACTAAGAGTGCAAGTTTAACCATAGGAATGTATACAAAGAATAACATACGCCTAACTGAGGGCCTGAGGGCTCCTGCTGTAGGCCACCACCCTCCACCCTCTTGACTTGCCCTCACACAGAAGTCTGTGATCCATTTCAAGACTCTTCGTCTGTATATACATAGAAAAATCAAGAATATTTGCATCAAACTGTCAACAGAGCATCTGGGAGATTGAAAAAGAAGAACTTCTGTTCTTTATATGTATTAATATAATACAAAATTATATATATATATATATATATATATATATATATACACACTCCCATATATACAGGTTGACTTTTTATTTTACTTTTACAAAATGAATTTGTAATACAAATAGTTTTGCAATTTTTTCTACTTACCAATTTATCATAATCATTTTTTTCGAAGTCAGTAGAGTTAATTCTACCTCATTTTTTTAAATGTTTGTATAGTATTTCATTGTATAAATATATTAGAATGTATGTAACTGCCTCCCCCCCCGCCCCGATGGACAATTGCAATGCCGTTTGCTTTTTGTTCCATTGGTTTTTGACTTTTACCAAAATATGCTGCAACAAATACATATACCTTATACCCCAGTGAAAACACATCAGTGGGGCAGATTTTTTTTTATAGGAGGGATTACTAGGTTACAGGGTATGTGCTCTTATTATTTTGATAGAAGTTTTGGGAATTATATACACATATAACTGGCTTTACATTACATTGTAAAGCTTGGCTAATAACTTTCAATACTACAGAAACCTATTAAATGTTTCTTCCCATTTCTCCCTCAAAAAAAAGTAGACTAAAATTAAATGGACTCAGAGCCTAAATTAATACTATCTTTTTAGATGGGTATCTGGCTGTATCTAAGAAATCGAAATCAGTGATTCTCTCATCTAATTTAAGAAAAATAAAAATAATCCAGGCTAGAGATGAGAGGCACTTAGCCACAAAATTCCACATGTGATTGAGGAAAGGAGGGAGGGAGGGAGGGAGAGCAGGAGTTGGAGGGGAGAGAGGAGGAGGGGAGAGAGGAGGAGGGGAGAGAGGAGGAGGGGAGAGAGAAGCAAGAACCAGAGAGCAAGAGAAAGAGACAGAAATTAAATAGGTGGTATGGAGAGAACTAGTTAATTGAAAGTGATGATTGACCAGATGATCACTTTATGTTAAGAGGTCATAAAAGAATTCTTTCAGTAGTGGCATTTGTGTTCAGCCCTAATTCTAGACAAAAGGCTGCCATTGACAGATTATGGGGAAGGACATTCCAGACAAAATCAGCAGCTAATGCAAAGCTGTGAACCAAGTGAAGAGGTATTATCTATGAGATGTGCTTGCTGAAAGAGGGCTATTGATGGGGGTGGGGAGCAAGAAATTAATGATAACTGTGGTACTTTTTGATTGAGCAATTAGGTAGATGATGGTACCTTTTCCAAAGTTGGGAAAATGAAACAGTTTTGGCAAGGAAAAAATCAAGAGTTATACTCTGGCCATGTTAAGTTTGAGATATTATTAGACATCAATGTGGAAATATCAAGAAGATATCAAGGTGACATACATACATATTGGATAGTCAGATCTAGAGTTCCACAGAGAGGTTAGGCTAGAGATAATGATATGAGAGAAGCCTACATATGCTCAAGAGAATGTGTTCTTGGCCAAGACTCCTAGATTGTCCAGGAACCCCTACCCATAAAATTACTAAAAAGTATCTCACATGACAGAAATTATTTCAACTGTGTTTAAAACTAGTCAGTTCAAATTCCTGATCTTTTTATACCAAAGCAATTTTTTAAAATAAATAATATTGAATAATTATAATACTAGGGGAAAAGAAATTTTACTCACTATTTCCCTGGAAACTGCAAATTGCACACTCTATTCAATGTACATAACCCTTCTTAAGAGTGAGAATATAGCCCTTTTATCCACTGGATAAAGGTTCACATAAATGTTATTTAAGCCAACAGTACATCTTCATATATTAACAAGTTAATTTATAACATTTTGTCTTCACAGAAGTATAAATAACTAATTGACCACATTATCATTTTTAGCTTCACATAGTTCACTGGAATTCTGCAAAATACTCCAGCTTTGCTGAAGCTGCCTCACAGGCTGATGGTTTGGCAATTATTGGTGTTTTGATGAAGGTGAGTTACAGAGCTCAGTTAACACAATTTCTTACATCAAAAAAGTATAAAATAAGGCAAAAGGATATCTGAGTCTTTCTTTTTAAAATGTTCATTCTACTAATGGCTACAGGTGAGCAAACAGTTCTCGAATATTTTGTTGCTTTGTTTTCTCTTGGTTTTTTCCCTTTTTTGAGAGAATTAAGTTTCAGGTAGGGCTAACATGGGAAGATATTGGAGGAGGGTGGAATTTCTATTTTCCAGCTTTTCTAAACTTCTTTTCCTCTAAACTTCTACTTCATAGGTTCAGGAATTTATCAATTTAATGTATCATCAGAAAAAAAAATACTAAGAGGATTATTGTCCCATAAAGAAAGTTCAGTTAATATTTAAAATGTCAGGTGTTGGGACACCTGGGTGGCTCAGTTAAGCATCTGACTATTGATTTCAGCTCAGGTCATGATCTCAGAGTTTGTGAGATCAGCACCCCCCCCCCCACTGCCCTCATTGGGCTCTGCTCTAACAGCACAGAGCCTGCTTGGGATTCTCTCTCCCCCTGCCCCTCCTCCACTTGCTCACTCTCTCTCAAAATAAATAAAGTTAATAAAATAAAATAAAATAAAATAAAATAAAATAAAATAAAATAAAATAAAATGGCATATGTTGCTGAAACCCTCTATAGGAGAGTCCCTGAAAAGTCCTATAGGGAAATTATTATTAAATTGGATATACTAGCATCTTTTGGGTTCTGCTCACCAAATTCCAATGTGACAGGTTCCCCCCACACCTCTAACAAGCAATTCTTGGGCACCAGCAGGGTGTCCAGGAATTCAATTCTAACACTATCTACCCAGAGATAGCATCAGGTTCCACAGGTTAAGGGTTCAGACTTGCAAGATTACAAGTCCCCCTGCCCCACTTCAAATGTCAGTCCTCAAGTCCAGATGGTTGTTACCTGTGCTTCTGACTGACTGGTTATAAATCAGAGATTCCCATGACCTCTTCCTTGGGTTCAAAGAGACTTGCTTAATTTGCTAGCATAGCTCACAGAACTCAGAGCAGTATTTTACTTAGTAGATTACTGGTTAATTATACAAGGGTATAACCCAGGACTAGCCAGATAGAAAAGATGCATAGGGCTAGGTATGGGGAAAGGCAAAGAGCTTCCGTGCACTGCCCAGGCACACTGATTTACCTGTATCTCCTTTAATTCACCAATCTGGAAACTCTCTGAACCCAGTCCTTTTGGGTTTTTATAAGAGCTTCATTATTTAGGCACAATTGATTAAATCATTGACCATTGCCAATTGATTCAAGCTCTAGCCCTGTCCCCTCTCCTGTCCCTAGAGGTCTGAGGGTAGAATTGAAAGGTCCAACCCTCTAATCCCCTGTTTGTTTCTCCTGGCAACCAGCCCTCACCTTCAGATTCAGTCTAGAAGTCCCCTAATTAACATAACAAAAGACACCTTTATCACTGTCATCACTTAGCAAATTCCAAGGATTTTAGGAGCTCTGTGTTGTAAACATATGTCTTATTATAAACATCACAGGTAGCTAACTTTTGGGATTATAGCAATTCTAGTTAACCTTTCTTGAGCACTTACAACATGCCACGCATTGTACTCATTATAACTAATAAAACAAGCCAAAAGTAAGAGGCTGTGTTTTGTATCACAGTTTTGCTAAATTCCTGGATTTTGTCTTGTATATCCCTGAACATCTTGTCCATATTAAATTAAAACCAAGGTTTTGTTTTCCACTTCATCTGTGGTGTGAAAAAATGACATACACAGAGCCATTTACAATGGAGATATAGTGGCCATTTCAGAGCTGCCTTGCACATCCTGCTTTTTGAACCTTAGAACTGGGCCAAACCACCAATATTCCAAGAAATCAACAAGAACAAGAATATCCTATTTGAGAGAACTAACAAAAGTGAACTTTTACGTAGTGACCACTTCACCTGACAAATCTGTAATGTACAAATCTCACCCTGCTTGTCAGCACCAATGAACTCTTCTCAAAAACTACTTACATGGGGGCGCCTGGGTGGCTCAGTTGGTTAAGCGTCTGACTCTTGGTTTTGGCTCAGGTCATGATCTCAAAGTTTGTGAGTTTGAACCCTCAGCTGGGCTCTGTGCTGACAGCATGGACTCTCTCTCTGCCCCTTCCACTCTCTCTCTCTCTCTCTCTCTCTCAAAATAAAAAAATAAAAAAATGTAAAGAAACAAAAAAACAAAAAACAAACAAAGTACTGACATGATCATCCTTCTCTTCCATAATTGAGTCTATGTCCTGTAATTAGAATGCTATTTGGGTTTCTACCTCAATGTGTGTGCCCTGAATTGTAATTCTTTGATCTCAAGTAAACACTTTACCTCTTGAGCTGGTTTCTTGTTTTTAGGTTGATGGTGGTTACACATTATGAACAACTTACAGAGCACAAGGGCCCACAAGGACATACAACCAACAAAATTCCCTCTCCTAAAGCAGAGAGAAAATATCTTACCTTTCTTCAGTTACGGTTTCCAATTGAAAAAAAAATAGCCAAACATAGGTTCACTTAATAATACTTTCTAACACACATTTTTTTTTAAATCTCCAGGTTGATAAGGCCAACTCACGACTGCAGAAAGTACTTGATGCCCTAAACGCAGTTAAAACCAAGGTAAATAGACTAAACACATTAGTTTAAATCAGAGAACAAGAGGGGCCCCTGGATGCCTCAGTCAGTTAAGCGACTGACTCTTCATTTCAGCTCAGGTTATGATCTCACAATTCCTGGGGGATCAAGCCCCGCATTGGGCTCCATGCTGAGAGCGCAGAGCCTCCGTGGGATTCTCTCTCTGCTCTTCCCCTGCTTAAGCACACCTGCGCATGTACACACTTTCTCTTTCTCTTTCTCTCTCAAAAAAAAAAAAAAACTTTAAAAGATAAATAAATAAATGAAAACATTTAAATTTGAGAACAAGAATCCACAGAACTACTGAAATAATTTACATATTTGAAGTGGGGAATAAGAAGACTAAAGCAAAAGTTACCACTCTGAAAATCAAGGTACTGCTTGGATATTGCTTGCTTCTGAAGTCTCTGACTCAGGTATTTGTTTTGTTTTTTTCTTTTTCACAATTATTATCTATTTCAGCAGGATGAAGCCTATAGAAGAAGTTTCATAGCCATTCAAATTTTCTTTAAAAACTATATCCAACTAAAATGTGATTTTTTTTCCCATTTCATGAAGAAAAAATGTCTCTATTTCTTTAGCAGTACAAAAATGCAGGAGTTAGGGGTATTTTTTTGAGATACCATTAACAAGCCATTAATAAACAACCAAAACAGAAATAGGAATAAATAGAATAAGGCTAAAACATAACTAGTTTGCACATCAACAAATAGTTTTGTCACTGGAACAGTTTCTGGCATCATTCCTAAAGAAACAGTAAATGTTTGGGGCACCTGGGTGGCTCAGTCAGTTAAGCATCTGACCTTGGCTCAGGTCATGATCTCACAGTTTGTGGGTTCGAGCCCCATGTCAGGCTCTGTGCTGTCAGCTCAGAGCCTGGAGCCTGCTTCTGGCCCCTCCCCAACCCCTGCTCACACTCTGTCTCCCTCTCTCTCTCTCTCTCTCTCTCTCTACCTCTCTCTTAAAAATAAATAAACAAAATAAATTTTTTTAAAGAAACAATAAATGTTTTATTCTGGAAGTGAAAGATCTTCTAGAGAATATAGATTATTTTAAAACTTCTTAACATTTGTTTATGTTCAGCCAAATGAGGAAAGAAGATTGCTTGGCCAAAATGCCAGTGTAGCAATTTTTCAGTCTTCTATTACTTTTATTGTTTATATCTACAAACACACCAGTGTATACTATATAGTAGGAAAATTAAATTTTCAGCTAAAATATCAAGACAATATATATACCAAAATTATATAACATAGATACCATATATGTATATGCTGTAAGTATTTTAAATCATAGTATAATGATACATTTCTTTTCCTTCCAGGGCAAACGAGCCCCATTCACAAATTTTGACCCCTCTACTCTCCTTCCTTCATCCCTGGATTACTGGACCTACTTTGGCTCTCTGACTCATCCTCCTCTTCATGAGAGTGTAATCTGGATCATCTGTAAGGAGAGCATTGGTATCAGCCCAGAACAGGTAGAGTATAAAAGGTGAAAGAGTGGGACTTAGGAGTGCAAAGCAGGAATATCACTTCAAGTCATAGTAAGGTGGACATTATGATTTCAAATAGATTTTTGAGGAGTTTGTTTTCCACTCCCAGTGAAAAACATTCATTTCTGACTTAGATCTATTGAATAATTAAACAGAAATGTGTGTTATAATACTGTTTTCTACTTTATAAAGAAAAAAAAATATGAGATTCTGAACTCCTACTATCTTTTTGACCTTATTAAAAAAAAATCCAACTTTGACAAGTGTCTTCCTAAGAGTTTGAGAAACAAAGAAAAGATTGTCACTGGAAATTCTACCAAGACTTTGAGGAAGTATGGCTCACAATAGACATACCTTGAGAGTTGACAAAGGTTTTTTGTTCTTTTTTGAAGGTTTTAATTATTAACTATCCAAAAAAAAATCTCTTTAATTATTGCTTATAATTATGATAATAATAACTACCACTGATTGAGCAAGTACTTTCATTAGGTGCCTTATACATGTTTTGTCAGCCAATTCTCAGAACAAACCTATAGGACAGGCAAGTATGTAGCCTACTGATAACATATGCTACATGCCAAGCAACATTCTAAGAACTTTATGTGTATTAACCCATTTGATCTTCACAAAAACCCATTGTAAATAGCTGATAGTGTTCAATATTTTTCCTATCAGCTATTTAAGGGGCCTGCTCCATACTACATTATCTGTATAAAGTTTTGCCTCTATTAAATCTGGAGCGATAAAATGGTGAGGACACACCAATTTCTTTTTCAGTTGCAATCATTATTTCCTTTTTTGCAATTTTCTTTTAATTGTGAAGTCAGTGACTTTTTTTTCATGCCTCAATAGTTTTATAGGCCAGTTGATGTTTTTGTGGAACTCTTAAAAGTCTGTCTACATTAAATGACAGGGTTTTTTGTGGGGGTTTTTTGTTGTTGTTGTTGTTGTTTGTTTTGTTTTTGTAAGGTGATGTTTTAAGAAAAAGGTAAGAATATATTTTGGGGTGGGAAAGTGATTATTCTGAGAACTCATAAATTATCACACATTGTGCCTTAACAAAGAAGCCTTCAGCCATAGCTGAAGTCACTTACTCTAAATAGGCTAGATTTTTAGCAGAATCGGACACACAAGCTGAAAACAAACTGATGGCTGTCAGAGGGGAAAGGGTGGGAGATGGGCATAACAGGTGAAGGGGAGGGGAAGGTACAGATTTGGAGTGAATAAGTCACAGGGGTAAAAGGCACAGCACAGTGAATATAGTCAATGTGATTGTAATTTTACTATACAGAAACTGAGGCCAAAAGCAGAAAGTCACTGACCCAATTAGCCCAGTTGACACTCTGAGAAAGTTGGCATTCTAATCCAGTCAATCCTTGATCATTTAAACCAAATACCTAGTTCAAAGAAATGTGAAGGAATTTTTGCCTTCCACCCTTCCAATTGGTGAAGTCATTGCAATCAATAACTTAGTTTTTTATATATCAGTGCATTGATTATACTGGAAATAAAGTGCTTTGTGTAACTTTAATAGCCTTTGATTCCTTAAATATTTTATTCTTCCTCCCAGCTGGCACAGTTCCGAAGTCTTCTATCAAATGTTGAAGGTGACAAAGCTGTCCCCATTCAGCACAACAACCGACCACCTCAGCCTCTGAAGGGCAGAATAGTGAAAGCTTCATTCTGACGGGAACAGGAAGGAACTTATCCTCCTTCCAGAAACACTGCCCTGCTTCTGACACAAACCAGTAAAACAAATTTTGAAGAAATAAAATTATTTCAATACTAGCAAGACAGCATAGCTGCAAATTTAATCTGTAGAACTGAAAAGTTTTAATTTTTGTTCTTAATGCTTAACTCAAATAATCATCTATAAGCTTGTTAAACTTGTGTGTAAATTCAAGTTTATTTTGTGGAATTATTTATAATTACAATTAAGGTATATTGGATAATTTCTTAGTGACTTGTTTCTCTTTCCACTTTATTCAGTTTAGTTGAACCAATAAAATAATTTTATCCCTTTCTTATCTGTTATGTGCTCTGTTTTTTTAATATTAATTTTCTACCCCATTTACATCCAAAAATCTTAAGTGCCTTATTTGCAATATTATTTTACTTCAAATGTAATAACCTAAGAGCAGCTTGAGATGAAATATTGAGAAATGTATTTTCTTACTCTTAAAGGCAAATATATAGCTAAGATGACAACTGTACTTAATATCGTTATACCAGCCCAACATTTGTGTTCTCTGTGATTAAAATGGTGTCTTTTATACAGGAAGATGTTGCTTCTGGATATTGCTTCCACTTTTGCTCCTCCCATTAGGAAAGCCAGTGGTTTCTCCCCTTCCCCCCATTATTATAACTGATTAGCTTGAATAGAGAATCTATAATTCAAAATTTGAAGAAAATTCACCAGTGAATGGTTTATAAAAATGATGGAGTCATTTCGACCTAAAATCATATAAAAACATCACGTAATTTTTAAGTCAGATATGTCCCTAAACTAAAGCCAGTTCTTTCTGAAGCCATATCTACATCCAGAATTCAAATCTTGTGTCTAGTGTATAGTCTTGTAATTGACTTTCCTTTCCTTCTCTGTGATTTAATACAAGTAACTGTATTAGATACCAAAGCCCATACCCATTCCAATGTCCTAGAGCTGTCTAATGTTACAGAATCAGTAAAAACTTCTAAATAAATATAAACACAGTTTAAAAAGACAGATCAAGCAGATTCTTCAATGCTCTGAGAGAGTCTTTGTATAAAGATTTTGTTTACTTTGTACCTAAAAACCGCACTAAGAGACTTCTTTTGAAATTTTTGATCTGGGGCCCAGAATTTAAAGAATCCTTCTTATTAAAATCTAATAGGTTCAAATAATACTTTAGCTCTGCTCACATGAGCATTATATAAACAGAAATACTTTCTTTGCAAAAGTAATGTGTGTATATTACTGTATATTTGCCAGATACCGAGAAAGCCTGAAGCAGTTACACTTGTCCTATGATCCTCTTATTTTACATGAGTCACATTGATAGGATTTCAATTCTAAAGTTATCAAAGGTCATCATGAAAGCCAAAGAAAGAGGGGTATGAGTTTAATTTGAGAAATATATTTGCATGAGGTATGAAAGGCATAAAAATTTTTGCAGAAAGATATCTGCAAAATATATCTACTCAGGACCCACAGTGTTTGAAAATATTTCCCAAAAAGAAATTGAGCAATTTAAAAAAAAACAAATTTCGGGGCGCCTGGGTGGCGCAGTCGGTTAAGCGTCCGACTTCAGCCAGGTCACGATCTCGCGGTCCGTGAGTTCGAGCCCCGCATCGGGCTCTGGGCTGATGGCTCGGAGCCTGGAGCCTGTTTCCGATTCTGTGTCTCCCTCTCTCTCTGCCCCTCGCCCGTTCATGCTCTGTCTCTCTCCCAAAAAATAAATAAACGTTGAAAAAAAATTTAAAAAAATAAATAAATAAATAAAAACAAATTTCACAAAAAGGATCTGAAAAATATTTAACTTGATGACCCATATATTTTTTAAGAAGGTTAAAATGTATTCCTGAAGTTAAATATAAATCTGTAAGTCTTGTTATGAAGAGGGCAAAGAGATGACACAAGATACATGATGGTCATCAAACTTCATCCCTAAGCTGAATGCCAACTGGGGAGCATGTTTCCCCTTACTGCTTCTGAATTTCACTTATTTGGCAGAACTCACGAGGTGCATTATGGGGGCTTTCCACATTTCTCTGAAGTAGCCGATAAAAGCAGCTGTTGAGAGAAGATATGTGGACAAGGCATTGGATGATCTAAGAAGGCAACTCATATGTTTCTTTGACTCACCCTCCCACTGTGCGCCCTCTTCCCTTGCCAACGTAGGTAAATGATTTGAACATCCTGCAAGTATTTTCTGATTTTTCCATGAGGTTTGGCAGCTGACCTTCCTCCAATAATCCAGAATGACAGTGCCACCTGATGGGCCCAGCTCAAGAGTAGAAAGGTGCTTCTATACCCTACTCTTTCCTGTCTTGTCCAGCCCCACAGTCCCACCCTTGCTTTCAGAAACACCATGCTGAATATTTACGGTGTCCTTTGCTAATTTGTGAGTCCAAGATATTTTCTAAATTGTTCATTTTTGTAAGTTTTAGATAACTCAAAGAACGTTAAATTCATCAAAGACAGAATTAGGGAAAAGAAAAGAAAGGGAGACAAATATCTTCTTTAAATTTAATTTTTACATGACTCAAAAGAGGCCATTTCTATTTCTTATAACTCTGGTTACTATCAGTGGTTCTGTGTGGATTCCTGTGAGTATGTAAGTTAAGCAATGAAACTTCTTTCTACTTCCCCTGAAAATGTAAATAGATACAATCAAAATTTTGCATGGAATTTTAGAGTACTTAGAAACTCAACCCTTTGTTCCCTTCCCCATCACAAAGTCAATCCTGGACTGCAAATAGGATTCTGGGGGGCGCCTGGGGGGCGCAGTCGGTTAAGCGTCCGACTTCAGCCAGGTCACGATCTCGCGGTCCGTGAGTTCGAGCCCGGCGTCGGGCTCTGGGCTGATGGCTCAGAGCCTGGAGCCTGTTTCCGATTCTGTGTCTCCCTCTCTCTCTGCCCCTCCCCCGTTCATGCTCTGTCTCTCTCTGTCCCAAAAATAAATAAACGTTGAAAAAAAATTAAAAAAAAAATAGGATTCTGGCTCTAAACTACAAAAAAAGTTGAACTACAATGGGACTGACTCCAGGTTTCTCGATCTTGCTTCCTAATTTAACATTTATTTTTGCTTTTCTACATCTTTCTTTAGAGCAGGTTTCTAGATGGAAGCATGTATATTTCTCATATAGTTCATAAATTATCTTCTTGTTGTTTTCTCCTTTACAAATATTATTTTGAGTTGGTATAGGGCTCCATTGCAGAAGAGATATAAAACGATAAAAAAGAAAGAAAATTCAAACTTTAGGGAATTGTTTCATTGATTAGCGGGTAAGCTAAAAAAAAAAGTTGCAAATGAGCGTGAAGAGAGCATAGAAAAATTCAATTGAGGAGGATCTCATTAGATCAATAATAACTCAAAATCACTCTGAAAGTCATCAACATACTTTGTATCTAAGACCACGAACACATAGGGAAATACTTATTTTATGAGCATAATCTTGATGATTATCCATAAATAGCATATGCTTAATTACTCACTGTTCTCTGTGAGACACTGTTCTAGGATTTCCTTATTACTCTCACTAGATTTGGCTATTTTCAATCTCATCAAGGAAACAGAGACAGAAAGACAGACAGACATAGATATAAATGAATAAATGATTGTATTTATTGCAGGACTGGTCTACTTTGACAAATTAGAAACATAGATATGAATATTTAACCTATTATAAGAACACAGTTTATTATATGTTCCTAGAATGATATGGACACATTTATAAAGCTAAGGGGAAAATATGTAAAATAAGAAAGATTTTAAAAGAAACATAACATGCTTAAAACAAGTTAGGAGAAAAGGCCTTAGGCATTCTGGCTTACAAATCTAGATTTCAATAGAGAAGTAGCTCATGGGAGTAACTTTGAGTCTTAAGATATGTGTATACTCTCACACAGATGAAACTGGTGGTTGCCAGCAAGGAGAGGGATGGGGGGATGGGCAAAATAGATGAAGGGGATTAAGAGGTAAAAACTTCCAGTTATAAAATAAATAAGTCACGAGGATGTAATGTACAGCATAGAGACCACCGTCAATAATACTGTAATAATGTTGTCTATGACAGATAATAACTAGACCTATCAAGGTGATTATTTTGTAATGTACAAACATATCAAATCACTACATTGTACACCTGAAACTGATACAACATTGTATATCAACTATAATTCAATTAAAAAGTAAAGCAAAGCACAAAAAAGAATAAAGCCCTAAAATAAGAAAAAAAAAGATACGTGCATACTCTCATCTTGTATCTTTACAAGTATCTTTAGTATCTTTATACGAAAAGTGCCCTGGTGGACAAAGAGGTCATGTTTGAAGGTGTTAGAATGCTCAGAGCATAAGTGCACTTACTAGAGGTTTCTCACAATGGCATCTGGGATGCTAATCCCTTTGCTATGAGAAGGTAGAAATAGCAATTATGTCAGAGAGGCATAGTGTTTAAGTGGCCTTATTTTTTCCCCTCAAAGACTAGAGAATATACTTTTCCCAAATAATCAATAAATATTTTAATACCCTTTAGAGGCAGACACATGTTAAGCGATTTGAATATGTTATTTTCCATCATGTTAACTGATGACTAAATTGTCCGCAAACACAAACACGCACAACAGAACCACACCATGCAGAAATAATGTTTAGCTACTTAGGAAAAAAAAAAAGACCCTCTCTCATCCATACACCAAAATAAATCCAAGGTGGTAAATTTTTCAAGGAAATCAATATACAAGAAAAATAGGTAAATATTTAAATATCTGGTTGAAGAACTTTCAAAACACCAAAGGTACAAACCAGGAAATAACAGAATAATTGATTGAGCTAGGAAAAACTTAAATATCTAGGTCAATCAACAATAATAAAAAAATTAATGAAAATAAAAAATTGCAACTGGAGACATTTTTTTGATGTAAATGACATCAACAGGAACAATGGCCTTGCTATAGAGAAAGCTTTCATAAGTTATTAAAATAAAAATTGACTTCCCAAGAGAAAATAGTAAGAAGATACAAATAAGCAATCAGTAAAGAAGTAAATATATGAAAACTGCTCAATCTTAATCTTTTTTAAGATTAT